ATCGGTATGGCATTGAAATGAAGAGGCAACAGTATGAAAGACAATGTAATGGATGGGGTAAAGGTCGAGAGAATGAGGAGCGTACGTACCAGGAGAGAGAAAAGCCTCTCAGTCCTGATGAGCATCGCCACATTTGGTCACCAAGTTCCGTCCGCTCTCACCCGACCCTTTGCTTGAACTACATCGCGGTATCGAAGCGATTCGCATCTACGCACCCTTTTATGCTTTCTATCCACCACTAATCTCTTTGCCAGTTCTCACTAACCCAACCAACCCTTCATTTCATTTGTCACCAGCACGAGATCCTTTACCGATTCGGTTGACCTCAGCATCCGCATGCTCGACTCACCCTTTACTTTCGTCCTTCCTCCCCAATTTTTCCACAAAATCATCGTTCTGATAAGGGGGCTTGCATGTCCACCTAATGAAAGCTTTCAACGTCTGACTGACACCAGAAAATGCCAGACCCACTCTCATTACAACCAACAACGCAATATAAGTGTCTACATACGCAAAATCCTATTTACAAGTTGCGCGCATTAAAGTTGTGCTCAGCCACAAGTCACAGAATACAACATTTGGCGAGGAAGAAGCTGCATTTATTGTTGGAGAAGCTTAACCTCAGCGATGTTGACATATACAAACAAAAAATGCAACGAAAATGTAACACATATGTACACAAAGATGTGTACAGTTGAGCACGTCCTGCTGCTAAGACGTGGGTGCTAGTTGGAATGCCAGATCAATGATTTCCAGCCCCACACAACTCACCATTTGTAGCATGCAATGATTGAAGACATCTCCAACTACCTAATAACGGAGGGGTGTGATTTGCACAAGATAGCTGGCAACAGAAGAAATGAAAAGTGATTTTCGCTGACGTGAGATTGACTGCTGTACCACGAATCTGACAGCATCTTCCTGCCTAGATTGCCCTCTCCATCAGTACTTGGCACTTGAATGACGATGGAGGGAGCTGCATTTACCCTTCAAATCTCTCTCTCCTGACCTAGAGTAGCCATCCCCCATCATTGCTATTCTGACGCCTGTTACAACACCGTTGTCAGGCCAAATATCTGTATGTGACATCGAGGCGTGAGTCACGCACGTCGCGTAATGGAGGCGCGACAATCTGTAGGTAGTAGTTAAAGCGACGCGTCATGATCCAGCTGATGGTTACACGTTCTTCTTTTCACCATCACCCTCACTCCATTTCGTTCGCCCATTCCCGCATCATTGCCGTCATAATCATCAGCAGCAGCAGCAGCATCAGCAGCATCAGCAGCAGCCACTGCATCCACGCCCCAATTCGCTTGTGCACCGTCACCTCTCTCGGTAGCACTCATGATGAACTGTCAGACGATGTCACCTCATCAGGATGCTTTACGCGATTCAAGCAACTTTGACCTCACCGCTGAGTATAAAAGAAGAGTAAAGCTAAAACCCAGTCACTACCACACACCACACACATCTACGCGTTGTATCGCCTTCTAATATTCACTCTCATTCCTTGCATCCTCACATCCGTCCGCGGCTTAATGCTTGATTCCTTTCTCGTCCTAAAGAATGACCTAGGATAAAAGAGACAAAATATCTCAAAGGTTTGCATAGCTAAGAAAATTGACTTTATAATTTGTGGCAGCCGTGAACTGCACTGCTGTAATAGAAAAGACGGCAAATTGTTGTGTGATATTAGAAGACAAAAAGTGAGTCACTTCAATGCGTGAGGGTGAGACTCGACATCACGACACGAAGTTGAGTGAGGTCAGCAGGCTGCCTCAGTCTCGTTTTCATTTATCGTTGGATGCGTTTATGAACACAACCTGGCAAGATTAACAGTTGTATGAGAGAGGGCCAAAAGTAGGGAAGGGTTGGCGTTTGTGTTGGCAAGTCGTGTTGTCATCTTAAATGAATCAAACAAAGAAGCAAGTGGAGGGTAGAAGATAGTCTGCGGGCACAGTCGTGCAGACCTGTTTTGAAACCTATCTATAGTAGTCAAAGCTAGGTTGGAACAAACTGAAAGCTCCTTCAACGAACAAACACTTGGCTACAGTCAATGTGGTTGCCCATGAATGCAGCAGTGTGAATAAGAGAGCTTCGCAGTCGTTCCATGCATGTCAAACTTGACACCTGAATTAGCAGAAGCTTCACTCACGTCTCGATCTGAAGCAAAGCGTAGAGCAGCATCAAAATGCCAAATTATGGCTTAGACACACTTGCCGTTGTGCAAGTGGAAGCGCCGTCGAATAGGGTGGAATGACATGGTAAAGGGTACAACGCCAGCACCTATTCCGCCTCCTTCCCTATCACCTTGATGTGTTACTGTGTAATGCAGGTGGTGCATTTGGACTGCGACGTGAAAGGATGCACCTCCACCGACTACCCCACACCGTCTCTATTCCCCGTCCTCGCTTATCGATCAAGTGGTTGTCGTTAGGTGAAACAACATTGTTTGCCGAAGTACAACAAGATAAGCTCACGTCAGCGAGAGCGAGAAATAAATAAAAGGTACAACGATAAGCTGTCCAGTCAGTTTGTTAAGTCTAACAGGTATGCGTTTTGCAAATGAAAGGCGAAGAAGAGCACACGTGTTAGATGAATGTGCTTAGTTTGAATGCAGACCAGAACAAAAAAGGGGAAGGACATGGTATTTGCCCTCAGGCGATACATTTGACTGAGACAGCTCCAGTTCGCATGAAAAGCGGAGTTCTACATGAAGAATCATGTGTGTGTATGTGTGCGTTAGGGTGAGTGGGTGGTAGCAGACACGTCTCGTGTCATTGAGGGAGACTCTGCACTACTTGACCTCACCGAGTTGGATGGTAGAGTTTTGTCGCCTTGTTGTCATCCATCAAGCGTGCTGTTACATTCAACGCTTTTGGAGATGGAACTCACAATTTTGCGACTGCATGGTAGACATTGTCG